ATACATTCAATCCCCAAAATAATCCAGCTTCACATATATAGTGGCACTTCTCTTCCGAGGGTCACAACCCTGAGCATTATGAGCTCTCAGGGTCACAGAAGGCGGCTGAGGAACCTCCACGTGTCCTCCGATTATTTCCTCTTTTTGTTGTTTTAGTTTCGAGTCTCATCCTGTTGGAGGCCGGGGTCAAAAATTTTGTTTACGTTCCCGTTCACTCCTGAAATTATTGTCTATGTGAAAAAACATAGCAAACACACACTGAAATAAATCTGGTGTACAAATAATTTTCACTCAGAATTTGCTAGTATTATCACAAAGAAACTATTCCAATAATCTGTGCAACAATCTCTAAAACATTTTACAGTAGCACTAATGATATGATAAAAGTGCAAAAGTAACAAAAAAGTTGTGCTGTCAAACGATTAATCGCGATTAATCGCATCAAAATAAAGCTTTTTGTTTACATAATATATGTGTGTGTACTGTGTATATTGCGATTAATCACGATTAATCGTTTGAGAGCACTACTAAAAATAGATTTACTGAGTTACTAACCAAAGTCAAAACAGCCCAACCGCAAATTTCTACGATATTATGGTCCCTAAATATTACTCATGTCACTCATTTGACTCTTTTTAATAGTCTGCCAAGTGCAAATCATAAATATAAAAAGTTACAGACATTATTAAGGGTAGGAAATATTACATTTTGAATGAAAAAAAAGAGGTTGTGATGGATAAAAGTGCAATCTGTTTAATAGGCCTAGTCTTTGACAAATCTAATAAAACACAAATTTTAAAGAAGTTTTTTAATATTTGTCAGCTGAAGTGCCAAAATTCAGGTACACAACAATAAAACTCATTTAAACGACAAGTGTCAGCCTAGTTTTCATTCACAAAATATTAAATATGACATCTAGCCTGACAAGGCACTTTCTATCTAATTGAACTTAAAAAATTTACTTCAGTTGCTGGCTTAAATTTGTAAGTATAATCAAATTGGCTGGACAACTTCAATTATATTGACTGCTGAATCTCATATAACTTAAAAAAATGGAGTTGAAATTGCTTAAAGTTTATGCGTTAAAGTAATAGAAAAACATGTTTCCATGACTTTTGACTAGATCATTTTTACAATAGCAAAATTTGAATCACTGACTAGTCACCCAACACACAAAAAATAGCAATATAATTTGAATCAGTGATAAATTATTCATATTTAGAAGTAAATTACTAAAGTCACACCAACACTACACACAGTGACATCTGAATCCTCATATTAAACTCACCATGATAATTTAGTTGTTACTGTGGTCACCACAAGCTAATAAGACCTCTACACACTACTAATCAAACGACAGGACGTTTACGCCGTCTTTAGTATTTCAAACTATACATTAAACCTTAATCCAATATAACAAGACAAATCCACCAGCCTAAAGCATTGGGAAGGCAGCAGGCAGAGAGAGAGAGAGAGAGAGCGAGAGAGTTTGAGAACAGACAGTAGCTATTGTTCAGTGATTAGCACCAGCCGTGACTCCACATGGCAGTTGTACTCATGGCTTACTCACAGGACGAGAGCACAACGCTGCCGTTTTATTCCGCACTCAAGGATATACAGAGCCGCTCGTTGACATCACAAGGCCGGAGTACGCAGGACAGTAACCTTGCTCTGAGGCGAGCGAATCACAGCGCAAATTTACAGTTGAGATTTATCCTCAGGTGCTCGGCCGGCGGTAATCAAACAGACAACTAAATAGCATGTGCCCTGATGAAAGAGGGCAGAGGGCGACAGCGGCTGCGTTGATATAGAGATGATCACAGTCGGCACATGGTCAGCAGAACTGTGCTTCAATTGACGAGGACGGGTTATTCATAAACCAGCACTGATCTCATCAACGCAACATCATCTAGTAATGCAGCAAGAAAAAAACACTAGTACTCACAGCTGAAACACATTGAGCAGTCTTGCTTTGAATTCAGTGGGCGTTCTTTTCAGTCCTGGGGGTGAAACAATTCAGGTACACAACAATAAAACTCATTTAAACGACAAGTGTCAGCCTAGTTTTCATTCACAAAATATTAAATATGACATCTAGCTTGACAAGGCACTTTCTATCTAATTGAACTTAAAAAATTTACTTCAGTTGCTGGCTTAAATTTGTAAGTATAATCAAATTGGCTGGACAACTTCAATTATATTGACTGCTGAATCTCATATAACTTAAAAAAATGGAGTTGAAATTGCTTAAAGTTTATGCGTTAAAGTAATAGAAAAACATGTTTCCATGACTTTTGACTAGATCATTTTTACAATAGCAAAATTTGAATCACTGACTAGTCACCCAACACACAAAAAATAGCAATATAATTTGAATCAGTGATAAATTATTCATATTTAGAAGTAAATTACTAAAGTCACACCAACACTACACACAGTGACATCTGAATCCTCATATTAAACTCACCATGATAATTTAGTTGTTACTGTGGTCACCACAAGCTAATAAGACCTCTACACACTACTAATCAAACGACAGGACGTTTACGCCGTCTTTAGTATTTCAAACTATACATTAAACCTTAATCCAATATAACAAGACAAATCCACCAGCCTAAAGCATTGGGAAGGCAGCAGGCAGAGAGAGAGAGAGAGAGAGCGAGAGAGTTTGAGAACAGACAGTAGCTATTGTTCAGTGATTAGCACCAGCCGTGACTCCACATGGCAGTTGTACTCATGGCTTACTCACAGGACGAGAGCACAACGCTGCCGTTTTATTCCGCACTCAAGGATATACAGAGCCGCTCGTTGACATCACAAGGCCGGAGTACGCAGGACAGTAACCTTGCTCTGAGGCGAGCGAATCACAGCGCAAATTTACAGTTGAGATTTATCCTCAGGTGCTCGGCCGGCGGTAATCAAACAGACAACTAAATAGCATGTGCCCTGATGAAAGAGGGCAGAGGGCGACAGCGGCTGCGTTGATATAGAGATGATCACAGTCGGCACATGGTCAGCAGAACTGTGCTTCAATTGACGAGGACGGGTTATTCATAAACCAGCACTGATCTCATCAACGCAACATCATCTAGTAATGCAGCAAGAAAAAAACACTAGTACTCACAGCTGAAACACATTGAGCAGTCTTGCTTTGAATTCAGTGGGCGTTCTTTTCAGTCCTGGGGGTGAAACATGTGGCCTATAATTCATTTACACATGTACGTGACCAGAAACACCAGGTAACTTGTGATGCTTATCTGTTCTATGTACTGCAGTAGAGCCATAACAGCAGACCGTTGTCTCCCCGCTTACAAACAACTTTCTATTTTTACATCAGTGGCCAATTTGTCGGTTAATGCACTGATTGAATTTATTTATGGAGGTATTTCCAGCCCAAATCAATCCATTTAGGTTCGCTACACTGCAGTTTCATCTATCCTAAAGAAAATTGAATTTCACATAGGAGCCAATCGAGCAAAACACATCGAATCTATATGGAATCTCTATTATTGTTCAGTCTCCAAAATAAATCAGTTTACAAAAGAAAATGCAAAACTACTGGAAATACATAAACATTGATTGATTATACATATATCCATCTATAAAAAAATACTGTATATATATATATATATATATATGTGTGTGTGTGTGTGTGTGTGTGTA